AAAATACCAAAGCTCCAGGCTGCCAAATTTAGACAAATCAAATATATCATCACAAAAATTGTATATGATGGGGCGGATGTAGTGTTGTAGTAACAAGTTCAATTGAATCCATAACTTTCAACGTGGAATAAGAATTTATATGTAAAAAATTCGTTAAAATTACAAAAATAATAGATATGAACCCATAACTTTAAAAGTATAATATATAACCCTTCGGGGTTGCCCAGTTGGTTTGGAGGGCGGTTATCCATATGGAGGATTTGCCCAGTTGGTTTAGAGGGCAGTTATCCATATGGATGACTGAGATTGATTCCCCCCTCAATGCCTTCCAGGTTGAGCCTATCGCACAGGGATTGCCTAGTGCGGTTTATATTCCATGTGTGGTTTGCAGGCTATTACACAGGGGAGGTTTACCCAGTGCTGCTCACTCGAAGGGCAGAGGCTGTGACAGAGGTTGTAGCGGCTACGGGTTTCCCTCTTACCAAAAAAAACTTTAAAAATATAATGGGTTCAATGCTAAAAACATTTGAACCCATAAAGTTTAAATCTTAGATCCTCCTCAGTAATGTATCACGAGAAATCAATAGAACATACCATAACATGACAGCTGATGCAAGTGACAATTTGACAAAATTCCAAAGAGATTTAAAAGCTAGTATGGAAAATCCAGTCCATGATTCAGGGAAAAAGCCAGAAATAACATAGATATTCTGAGCTAAAACCACGAGCCACCACGATATATTCCCTGCCATGGCAGCACCAAGAAGTCCATGCCCGAGCTTTGTCACCAGCACCCAATTCAATACAATATGAAATACCAATACGACAACGTTGATTATTGTCATAACCCATATTTTGCTTTGTGCTTGAAGGAATTTTTGAACAGGAAAGTTCAATGCATAAGCATAGAGTTGAGGAATCACCCAAATTGCATATTTTCCTGCAATTTCTGCGATACGCTTATCCTGGTGTAGGAGCTTCAATATTGGTGATGTGAATACATAAAATGGTGTCAAAAATAAAGATGTCACTAGAGTAATAACACATGATCTTTGTAAATAAATTCCAAGCATATCGAATCGTTCTGCTCCAACTGCTTGTCCACAAAGTGTCTCAAGTGCACTTCCCATCCCTAGCTAATATAACAAATTTTTAGAAACACAAAAGAAAAAGGAAGATTTAGTCCATATTCAAGCACATGTCAAAGACATAAATAATAAGTAACTAAGCGTATGTTCTCTCTAACAGCTTAAACGACACAGTCCTGAAGTCATAGTTTTGGTCGACAATCATAAAATTTTACGTACCATAACTCCATAGACAAAGCCTTCAATAACATTCTGAACAACAGAGATAGCAGCTAACTCTAGAGAACCAAGATGTCCGACGAATGCAACGCTGACAAAGCCAATGGAAAACTGAGAAACTGCTGTGATAATGGCAGGAGCAGCTATTTCCCATAACTTCTTAGATTCATTAAAACTCTTTTTGCTCATTTTCTTTGCATCATCACAATCATCAGCTTGAAATTTCCTTTCCATTTCAAGAGCTCCCACTGGTTCTACTGCCATTGTAATATGTTGAGTCCAAAATCCTCTGTTTTTTCCTCTGCTTTCTTGATTTTCTTATGTTGGCTGTTGTTACATTTACTTGCTTATTTGTTAGTTAAATTCAACTACTATATATTTATAGCTTGACAGCTACGTGCATGCAAATTGAAAGTCAGTAATAATACTAGTAGAATACAAAGAATGTGGTGAAGCGGATGAGACTGCTCTTTCCTTAATCAGAGGTCTTGATTCGAGCCTTGGCTATGGAAAAATCATTGGTAGGGAGCGCTTCCATCCGAATGCAGAGCCGGATCCAGGATTTTAAGTTTATGGGTTCACAAATAGATTTTTATAGATATTTAATAAATTTTTTAACAAAAATACAGGGTCTACGCAAAAGTTACTGGGTTCCCGGGAACCCATATATTATGCCCTAGATCCGCCCCTGTCCAAATGGGGCCCTACCCTACGCGAATTAGGATATAGTCGGGCTCCAATGCGAGTAACGGACACCTAGTGGAAACCCAAAAAAAAGAATACAAAGAATGACAAACTGACCTTTTCTTTCACTTTGTGGTGTGGAAAACCGATTCACCACATGCCCATAATATGATAACAAGTAGTAGTATGAACGTTTCTTGAAAGGACTCAACTAACAGTTATTTCGGCTAGTAATGTTCTTTAAATTATAAATTAATAAATTTTATATAGAAAAGAAGAGATTAATGTTTAAACAATTGATAATTTGACCATCATTAACAAAATTAAACCTAAGTATTTAGGGACACGAGTATCGAGTTATGGAGAAGGAAACTCGGGCGAAATTGTAGGTGTAGTCGACAAATTTTCAATCGGTACAGTGTTTTATAAGCTTTTTTTTTTTTTTTTTTGCTTTTTCTTTTGTTGTGGCAACCTTTTCAAACTATACGTGTGAATGAAGCACGGTTACAAGAATATTAATGCAATTTTTAAAATTTGTTATATTATTATTGTTATTATTGATAAGGTGGGATGTTAGTTATTCATGAATTAGACAACTGATTGGTTGAAAAAAGAACCAAAAAATGAGTAAGAATTGAATTTGTTTTTAGATCATGCATGACGTGACAACAAATTTATGTAAATATTTGGTGAAAGCCATAGTTGACTTTCAATCCAAACTCAACCACTTTGTTCGTATTTCTGTTATCATTTCTCTATCGTTCTATTTCCATATATATCAAGCAGAAAATATAATTAAAGCAGTTAAATTTATATAGATATAATTGTACTCAATTGCACGCGAATTGCACGATATACTCTTCAATTAAGTCGGAGATAGAATTTGGATCATACAACTGGATATACTAATTATTAAAAGGCACAACTAATATTCTTGTTATATTGTAATATTCGTTTGGTTGGTGTAGTGATGTATCGGTATTTTGACAATTATAAGAGTTTTTGGGAAACTATGAATGAATATTGTATATGAGACTTTCCCTCTCTTGTATTTATAAAGAAAATGTTAAAGTAAAAGAAACCATATATATGATGGAAAACTTGTGGATTAGATTATGAATTTTAAAGAAAAAAGCGACTAAAGAATAAAAGAATGTGACGGTCCAAAATTGGGAAAAAATAAATAAGAAATAGCATAATTTACAACTGATAATTGAAAAATAATCACAATTTTAAAAGTAATCAAAATTTATCTACTTGTTTATGTAAAAATAAAATTTAAACAAAAATACCCTTAAAAATACGAAAAAATGTCAGCATAATATGCTGAGTCCGCATATTTTATATATGTTGGAATTCCTAATGTGCTGGAGTTCCAACATAATATGCTGGAAATTTATATGCAAGAGCTTCATAATCCAGCATATTATGCTGAAGCTTTCCGTATTTCAGCTAGGGTGTTTTTGTCCAGATTTTATCTTCGCATAAAATAATAGCTATTTTTAACGACTTTGCAAATACTGCATATTTTTCGATTACCAGTTCGAAAACTGGCTAGGCCATGCTATTTTTACTCCAAAATTTAAGTTATAAATTCAAAGTTATACCCCTTTTCAAGAATAGCTTACCTAACACTTAGAGTAGAATTATCATATTTGTCCAAGAATTTCTAATTTCTATTCCCAACTTTTCTTACCTAAAAAATTCCTAATTATATTCAAATTAAGTCAGCTAAACAGTGAAAACAAAGAAATAAAAAGCTCGTGCATGATGTAAAAGTGCAAATAGTCCGGCGTCATGCAAGTTGTACTTCAAGTAAAACTTTGTAGAAGTCCCCAACTCTTACCAAACTCTAAAATTAAAATGCTTTGACTCTTTTATCATATGATATTCATCTCGTAATTTGACAGCAAAACTGCACATATATTCGTCTTACCAATCCTTTATTAAAATTATCATTATTGCTTTCATACGTGTAGTCATAGTACTGAACTAATTATGTGAGTAATTAGTAGATTTTTCCATAAAAAAACAAGTCAATTGTAACAACTACTTTTGTGGTTTGCACTACTTTGCAGACTTTGAGGAAGTATTATTTGACGAAATATTGTCGGTGTTTTTCCCTTTCCTCTTTTCCTATCATGTGTTACTAAAAAAATTCTCCCATTAAAATATTTTAATAGATCATATGTTTGTCAATTTTTTTCCATATTTACTAAACATTTATTCATTTATCAAAACTTTATCTATAATTTTAACAAAGTAAGATTGAAATAATATTCATGTAACAAAAAAAACCAAAAACCCGACAAAACCGAACCAATCTAAACCGATATAGTCGGTTTGGTTTGGTTTTGATAAAAATCGAACCAACTCGGTCCATGTACACCCCTAGTTAAATGTACAAAAGAAAGAAAAATAAATGCTTATTATAAAATGGTCAAAGCTAAGCCAAGACAAAAGGATGAAGGTTTGGTATTTAATTAGCAAATTAAATCTGGTTGTCAAAGCTCTACGAAAGTAGAAACAAACAAATTCGTGTTCAGTTTCTTCACTTCTTGTGAACAAACAAGCCACACCAAACTCTGTTGACGAATAATAAATCAAACCCCACCAACACAACGTCATTATTATATTTTTACTTGGAAACACTACCAATAAAGAACACCATAAAAGAAGAGTATTACTTTAATTTTATTACAATCAATAGACAATTAAATACTTATTCGTTTTATTTTTTGTGGCACTATGTACTTAGTAAGTTATTTTTTTAATAAAGAAAAAACATAAAATATTTGGAGATATATGTTAAACTTTTTCATTTACCCTTAAGACATACTTTTACAAAAACACATAAATATTACAACATGATTAATTAGGACTACAAGTTCTATAAGAATATAATTTATATACGTTGGCCGACAGTATCAAGTCACTTAAAAAGATAATTACAGGTTAGTAACTTGCAAAATGAGATAGGTGGCCTAGATTAAAATACACTAGTGCTGCTCTGTACAAACAAATATTACTACCATTTACGTGTACATATACACTCTTTCTATTTAAGGCAAAAAAACACTTTTAGAAATGTAAAAGGGTCCTAATCCTATACATACTGATTTAATATATACACCTGTAATACCCCTAACTACCAATATCAACCACCAAAACTAATGAGAATGACTAGTACTACTAACTTTACATTGGTCAAGAATTTGATCTATAACTTGTCCTATCATGAAAATGAATTAAATCCAAAATCAGTGTCTTTATCAACTCAAGATTTTGTGATCAATTCTTTTGACTTCTGCATTCTCATTCTGGTGTACTAACATCAGCTACTTGCATATCAAAAATCTTTCTTGTTCCAAATTCCAACTTGAATTCTGAAGCCAATGAAACTATCAGATTCTTCTGTAGAAGAATATGATTCAACTAACTCAGGGACTTGATCGACGAAGCAGCGATCGTCAGTGTCCGGAAAATCGCCCTTGGCTTGATTATTCTTACCACCAACCACCTCAGTTTTTCCATCTTGTAAGGCTGAGAGCTATTGAGAAGATTCATATCAGTCAGAATAAATGTTAAGATAATCATAGTTTCTTGAATTTACGAGGTCACAGTTGTGGACTATGGGACAGAATTTCACCTGTGCATGTGACAAATAACTAATGCAAGTTGTAAGCATTAGAGAACCAAAACCAGCGTAGACTATTAGTACTCCTGGATCAGTCTGTGGCCAAACATAGTACACACTCAACAACCATTGCAAACATAAGATAAACGGAAAAGGGTTTGATTTGCCCCTCTACTATTGTTTATTATTCAATCTTGCCCCATGTTATATTTTCCGTTTAAATATACCCTTGACGTCCATCAAAGTTCTATATTTGCCCCTATTTATTCATATGGTTCAATCTCTCAGAAGGCGCCACGTGTCTTGGTCGTTAAAATAGGGGCAAATATAGAACTTTGATGGACGACAAGGGTATATCTGAACGAAAAGTATAACGAGCAACAAGATTGAACAATAAACAATAGTAGAGGGACAAATCAGACCCTTTTCCGTAAAATAAAACAATTTCTTTGGATGCTGCTGCTACTTCATATGAGGATTTATTTTTTTTTTGGTACCTTTAGGTCCAGGCTGGTACTACCAATTGCGTCCACAGTGACAATTTTTGTTCCATCAATCTCAATTTGAAGCTTTGAGTTCGGTTGTCTAACTCCAGCAAATTCCCCTTCTTTATCGTTAAGAATAGTTGATTGCAGATCACCAGCTTGTATTGATCTGCATTTTAGAATCAAAAAGGAGGAAAATCAGAATAGTAGAAATAATAAGAGAACGTTAAAAACGTAGGCTTCTCGTTAAGTTAAAGAATTCCATTTTTCGCAAAAACTTAAGGTGATGCTACTGTACCTTAAGGGATCATTGACACTTATGGTTTTCCTCAGTACTTCCTTTCCGTTAAGGTCAAATAGGGAAATATCAGTATGAAACTTTGAGACCTACATTACATATTAAGGACAACAGAAAAGAAAAAGAGTTATTCAGAAGTTTGTGGAAAGGGAAAGCATAGTTAACTCACATAAATTGAATGTGCATATATACCTCTCCGCTTTCATCGTAGTCCAAGTAGGATCGATTGACATGAACCTTAGTACTAAAAGCATCAGAAAGAGTCGATAGAACCCATTGCGGTGCAATTACATCCCCTCCAAAACTGTCTGCTGCACTGAGAGTTCCTCCTCCAGACACTGCAAGCAGCAGCGCGAAATGTACTACAGTTGAAGCAAGTCGACTTGCCAACCCCTTAAATGCTTGAAGAGATGGCCCTTTTAAGAATACCTAGAGATGCAGAGTTTGCCGAAATGTTAATACTTATGAAGTCGCTGTTGAAGAAATTAAGAAACTAAAAGATGTATTGTCCAACTAGTCATGCATGGATCCAGTTGAAGCAATCCGATTGTAAAGTTAGAGTAACACTACTTTCTGTACTACAACAAACCAAATCTCTATAATGTTCGCCCACCTATGTTCTCGTTTACTGGCTAACAAGAGAAGAAAGTTATTCCTGCAAATAGTAACAGGAGGAAAAACCAGATGATCCAATTCCAAATTACTCTTCATCTTTAGTCCATATAGCGTGGCATACTGTTTTACATAAAAATAACTTTTCCAAAAAAAATCCAAAAAGAGACGGAAACGCTTGAGCAGCCTTGTTGATAATTTTGCATTAATGTACTCTAGCATTTTTGAAAACATCTTGATTCTCTCATTCCATTATAGGACAGGTCTCCTCGGCAATATTTCAAATACTATATGAAGGACTAAAATAAACCACAGACTAAATCAGTAGAAAACATTATTATTTTTATACCTCATATCCAACTTCTAGCGGTTTGACAGCCGAGTCTTTAACCGATGTTCTTGGCAGAGTGTCTGCATCTTCTTGCATTTGAAGTGGCTCAGCTGAATTCAAGAAAGGCTGCCTGCAGATTGATCAATACATGTTAATTCCAATCTGCTTTAGAGACCTCCGAATTAAAATTCAGGAAAATGGAAATTAAAAGCAGACCTTCTTGCTACCTTCAGAAGGGGAATTTGTGTTGTGTTTGTGCAAACCATCAATGATGCACCTAGTATCGCCAACGACCCCAGGAAAATAGGGGACGAGAACATGTGATCAAGGCCAAGGGTAAATTCAGAAAAATTCTGAAAGTAAAATTCTGGAACCTCGCCTTTGTCAATGATAGTTCCTGCAAGCGAAAAAATGGAAAAAAAAAAAAAAGAAAGAAATCTAGTTATCAGAGAATCTTCAAATAGATAGGCACAAATAAAAGAAAAATTGAGAAAAGAAAGAAAGAGAGAAGCACTGAATACGTGAGTGTTAACTTAAAGAGAATAATAGATGATTTCGTCAGTTTAAGCAGACAGGAAATCAAATAATCAAGGTTAATTTTGGTGAGAACATTGAACAAACAACAATGTTCACTACATAGGCAACATCTAATAACCCTGCCACCATTGAAACAATGCAGGCTCTATTTCTGTTCTCTTTACTGATATCACAGGGGAAAAAAAAGATTACAATCATGAAAAGCTCTAAGCCAAGGTGAAATAATATGATAACGCCAACACTACCACGAAACTATGCCTATTGCGCATGTTCTGCTGCTTAGGAATGTTATTAGAACTTCAAATAGCCAAATAATGGAGGACTAAATAAGGATACCAAAGGCCAACTAATAACTCAAAAATTGAATGTGCTGTCATGCATCTTATGCAGCCTAGAACTGCAATTAGAATGGCTGCTGCCAAATAAATTATGGAAAGGAAAGGCCCCAAGACAATAGCAAATTCAAAATTTAGTAAACGCAACCAGCTATAGTAAAGGAAGGGAAGCCTGGGAGCAACATTAAAGTTATCTCTGTGTGATTTATAGGTCACAGGTTCGAGCGGTGGAACCAGCCGCTAATGCTTGCATTAGGTTATTTATATTAGGTTGTCTACGTCACACCCTTGGATATGGCCCTTCTCGGGATCTTGCGTGAACGCGGGATACTTTGTGCATCGGGCTGCCCAACCAAATTATAGTAAAGGCTTACGTAGGAAAACACAAGAGGTCTACTAAAAATCATAAGAATGGAATCTCTCATCATAAACATACATATGCACACATGCATAAAACCAACACGGAATAGGCAGCAAGGATTCACATAGCCAATACCAATAGTTAGCTCAGGACTGTTGTTTTGTGTATATATTATTGAGACATAATATAATTAAGTACTCATCAAGAGTATGATCTCTCTAATAGATTAAACTTTTAGATGAGATAGTTCATATTTTAACACGATATCACAAATGCATGTTTTGAGTTCAAATCTCATCGCCACCAAAAAAGTTTAAAAAACATTTCCACGCCTGAGAATGTGTGTAAAAATAGACCAACTTGAAGCTTTGTAATTAAATCATAAATACATGCACTGAAAATATTACCTAAGGCCATTAAACCAGCAGCAGCAAACATCTCACCAATTACCAAAGGCAAATTAGAGAGAACTCCCAATACCCTTTTGTGCACTTTCTTAAACACCACTTTACCATCCGCATTATTAATCCTAGTGGTTCCTTCCGCCGCCTTCTTCCGCTCCAAAAGCGGCGGCGCTCCGCCGGAGTCCGGCGAAGAAATATTGCCAGGAACAATCTTTTTCTTGATCGTTTTCTTCCCTTTTGAAGTCTTGAGCTTACAAGTACGAGTAAATGAAAAAGTGCGGTCCTTTTTGTTATAAACACCAAGAATTCTTGAATTTTGAGGAACCCAGAAATGATTATGAAAATGAGGTGTTCTTAAAGGTTTAGTTGAAAATTTTAACATCTCCATCGATGTGGGAACTCTAAAAAAGACTAATTAAGAATATAAACAGAGAGATGAGAGGGTTAATTAATTTGGTTTAGTTCAGGTATTAGCTATATGGAGTTGTAACAATTGTTTTGTAAGTTTATGTAAACATAAGGGGTGTGAGAGAGGCAGTGTACTACAACTATTTATACTTGTGTACTTAGTACTTCAAAATATTGCTTAGTACTTACTACAACAAATTTATACAGATTATAATACTTGAGCAAACTTTTAAGCAAACATAATAATGGATTAGAGTAAATTGCATGTACAATACCTTTTCACTTCTTTAAATTCAACAATACCACTGCGTCTATCTCATATTTGAGGTCATAAAGTTTTTATTCATAATACAATTTTTATAATAATTTTAATAGTTACATTCTTAATTTTTTTTTAAAATTGTACTAACTAGTGCGAGACTGCCAGTTGTGCGTCTTCGCTTGATTCCCCGATTGATTTGCTTGTCACATGGCCCTTCCCTTTATCTCACCTAAGCCGAGGGTTTTCTGAAAATATCCTCTTTATCTTTTTAAAGGTAAGGATAAGGTTTGCATATACACTGGTTTCCTCATACCTCACTTGTGAAAATACGCTTGGTAGTTATTGTTGTTGTTCCACAAAAAAATTAAATATTTTGACACTCAAACTCAAAATTAGTATATCATTCTTTTTAGGATGGATGACGTATTTTTTTTACCATCTCCGTAATCTAAAAAAAAAAGAAAATAATGCCATTCTAGCTTTTGAACAAATTTAGCATTTCATTGATGCCACTATTAATTAATATAGTATATCTTTCGTGAAATTTATTTTAGTTGAACTAGGGTGTTTGGATTGGCTTTTAAGCTAGTCAAATCAGCTTTTAAGTTTTTTTCTTTTAGTTTTTCAGTGTTTGACAAAGCTATAAAGTGCTTAAAATAAATTAAAAATGCTTAAAACAAGCCAAAAGCAATAGGTTGGACAATCCCAACTTATTACTTTTTGACTTAAAACTATTTATAATCACTTTTAAAAGTCAATTCAAACGGGCTCCAAGGCAGATCAAGTTGACGAATGAGCTTAATTAACTAAAGGTGCTTTTAAGATGAATTTAGCAAGGGAGAAATTCAAAAATAGCTAGATTTACAAGTGGTCATTCAAAAATGGTCACAGTTTCAAAAGTAATCGAGATTTAACCACTTTTCATGTAAAGATAAATTTGAACGAAAACACTTTTCAAAATCCGAAAAAATACTCCTTCATAATATACTGGAGTTCCAGTATAATATTCCGGTCCAGCATAATATACTGGAAGCCCGTGTTATTTACGGAGTTGAAATTTTTATAACCAAACAATAATCCTTACGGCCCCCAATAAAATTGTTTTGAAGGCAAATATTGTATAATTGTTCGATTTTCCGCAAATTTTTCATCCCTCTATATAAATAACTCAATATTGATTCGCAGTCGATAACATATTTTGATTAATGCATCGTACATCCGGCTGCCGATATCACCCTTGAAACACAGTTCGTCTTCGATCTCACGTGAATACAAAATATTTTATGTATCGGACTTGCCTTTTAATTTAATTAATGCAAATCTGAGATATTGATAACTTACCCAAAGCAGAAAAGGTCGTATCATTAGGTGTGAGTAGTACACGTACTTTTGAGCACTCTCAATTTTCAGTTTTCATCAAATAGGCATTGCTTGATTTCTAGATCTCACTCGTGCTTTCGAAAGCATGCCAATTGTGTATAATACTAATTATAATATGAATTATATTTCAATCCTGAATTAGTTCAAAATTAACCGTACGCATCACATGTATATATTCCACTGCATTCGAATAATACTACAAAGACAATAGTACAATAATTAAATGTTCTCTAATTACGCATTTATATTAAAGTTTCTGTTCAAACTATAATTATTTGAAAGGAAAAATAAAACTATTGGAGAACAGAACAGGTGTAAGTGCAACAACAACTAAGCTTTAACATAAATTAGTTAGTATTGGCCGTCCTTTGCTTTCTTCATGTTTTTTCTTAGCCAAGTTAACTACACCCACGCATAGATGACAAGTTAGTCCTAGACTTAAAAACATAACACAAATAACTCTTCCTTTCAATCAATTGTTCATTTTTTTTTTATAAAGCAAACGAAAAAGAAAAAGATAAAAGGAACTAAATACCCCTATTATACTTCTTGTTTGTCACCGCTCCCCCTTTAATGGATCCTGCACGGAGCTGGAAAAATTGTGCGATACATCAAATATTTACACTATATTTATCATTCGTAGCTATACTTTCAGTAAATTTACCATTCGTAGCTATATTTGAATTTCATAGCAAATCCATGAAATAAGAGATTAATTGTTTCGAACTGAAACAAGAGACCAATAAGCTCGTGTAGCTCAGTTGGTTAGAGGTTCTTGCTTAGTTAGCTGAGATCTTGAATTCAACTCTCAACAAGAGCATTTTATTTACTCGATACAAGTTGTATCCTTTGTATACATACTTGTATTTCGTCTTGATTAAAGCTATAGTGCTTTATACCGATATATGAGATAGTTATTGAAAAATACTTGTTGTTTAATTTGTCGTCCAATCCTATACAATGTAGTGTATTATACTGTTGTACAACAATGGCGCAAGGCATTGACAACCATATATGCATGACGTGCTTCCCTAAGCCTACAACTTGCATTATACTACACACTATCTCCCATTACATCATGTGCTTTCGACTTCCATTGGACTACACACTTAACTAATTTCTACACTCCTTTCGTCTAAAGTTTCATTTCTTGCGGAATCAAAACATTTTCAACCACTTTCCTTACTTCCCAATATGGGGGAAACTTCATATTTTAATTTACATTTGCCTCCATCTTAACTAATTGTTACTTTAGGACAGAAAAGACAACACGCGTCTGCTTCCAAAAACATTAAAATGTTGCTTGCTTTAATGCTGAAATTTCAACTTACCCTATTATGCTAAGTGTAGAAAAATGGAGATTCTAACCTTAGAAAGTGAGCCATGAAAACAGCAAGAATAAGGACCTCCTTTAACTTTACGTACAAGGAATATATCCCATACACTCCAACAATTCTCAAGTATTGCTTTACGTGTGGGATATATCCAAATTATCTTTCATTTAGTATTCCTAAGTAATAATAATTATTAAAAATAAAATAAAAATTCCCTTGTCTTAGATAAGAAAGTTGCTTCGACACAAATCATTCTTCTTCTTATTAAACAAGAGATTATAAGAGAATAGCAGCAAGAATAACCGAATAGTTAAAACCAGAAAGCTTAGTAGTGGCAAAATGGATAAAAAGACAGTTATCCATCGATTATTATCCACTAAAAAATAAATTGGATAATTAACTTTTTAAAAATGGGTCAAATATGGATAAGATCCATATTATCCACTTAACCAATGGATAACCTATGAGTTTAACTTTATATTTGTAAAAATTCAAAGTGGGAGTTACTCAAGTTTGAAAGATTAAAAATTCTTCCAAAAATGATCATATATCCATATTATCTGCCGGTTAACCCATTTTCTATCCACATTAAATATGGGTCGTGTCGGATGCATTACTTGTATTCAACTCACCCATATCCAACCCGACCCATCCGCTTGCTACCCCTACCATAAGCCTTAGCATTTACTGGGGCATTTGCACAAATGGCCCTTTTGAGATCACTATTTAATTCTGTCCCTTTTAAATCCAGTGCGTTAATTTTGTCTACACCAAAAACAAAAACAAAAAAAAGATATTCATCTAGCTGTTTTAACGGCAAAACTAGCCAACATTTGGTCGACCGGGACAGAATCTAAAGAGCAGCCTTAAAAAGGCCAGACGATGCAAATAATCTGCATTTGGGATCTTTACACAAATAGCCAGCCATATTCATTGTTTACTTTTCTAGCCATAGACATAGATACATTCATTATACATAATTATACACATAATATATATAAATTATGCATATATCATACCTCCACCAGCTATTTTTAGGTTAAGATGTTGGGTGGGCGGATATTTGGGTTAATTCTTCACCGACGGACCGAAGAGAAACTACCATGGATATGAATCAAGAATTCACTCAAATATCAGGCCCAAACATCACCCTCTTGTTAAATAGTTACAGAACAATTTGAAGAAGAAGAAGCTCCACCAGCTTTTTATTAAGAGAAAAACTTGGTGCAGATTCTGGTGCTAAGTACATACCTAATCCTAACTAATAATAATGTGCAGGAGAGTTGCACCTGGTTTACTACACATATGTAGGTCTAGCACACTAGGATACATACACTTGTATGATTAACGATTACACATCGTTAATCTATAACACTTCAGGCCTTATGAAATTAGGGAAATGATTAAGAGGAAACCGATGATCAAGAAAAGCATCTTCATAAAGAATTTTGTTCCGTCTAGGTGGTTAGAGTAATGGAAACCATGAGCATAACCCCCGTGAAAGGAACCGGAAAAGAGGTAAGGGACTCCTGTAGTCGCCCCATAAACAGTGGCATCATGAAATCCATGTACATGAAGGTTAAAAAAAGCTGGAATAGCTCCAAAAAGATCAGATAACATCGAGTTTCCAAACCTTGCACTTGGCATGGGCATGGGCATGGGCACGGGCCTGAACCCCCCTATGGGATCCAATTCATCATGTCGGAGATAGTCCATATCTACAGCTGGAGCAGTTTGAGGTCTCTGTCCCATTGGACGCTTAGGGATATTGATCCCAGGTACTAACCGAGATCTTGGGTCAGAACTTGATTTGCCTCGTCCATATATCGGAACCAACTTGTGCTCTTCTACGAGAGCCTTACATACTGGGCACTCGTAGGAATGTGAATGAACTTGCAACCATTCGTAAAGACATGGCCAACAATAAAGGTGGCCACAAAGAGTGACTATAGGATCTTGAGCTAACTCAAAGCAGATATTGCATTCAAAACCACCAGGGTCAGAATTCATATCTGCTGAACGCAAAGCATCCATCGATTCACCTGTCCAGAATTGAAAACCTGCAAGCAAATGATAACAGGAGGCCCGACTTCTATTAACATAGTGACATCATGGAATGGAATAACAAGAAGAAAGAGTATAAAATGGGATCAGAAAATGTGAACCAAACATATATAGAGCAAATAAAGATAACAATTTTTGAGTCCATTTACACGGGGAACCATGAAAAATAACTTAAATGGCCTTTTGGTAAAAAAGAGAAATGAAAATCAAATAATAATAGTACGTAATGCTACTCGCCAAAGGTCTAAATGTTTTTTTTCAGAAGTTGTTAGATGATTCAGCTTGGGGTATTGAAGAAGCTAATATGGACAAAATTTACATACTGTATTATTACTTTCCAAGACCTAAACACCAAATAATGTAAATAACTTATTACCCTCAGCTTCGTCAATCTTCCTCCTGAACTTTCACGCTTCACAGACTAGGAACCAAGTTGGAAGGAAATGAAAATGTTTCGGGCATAAATTTAAGTAAAAAGTAACTTCCAAGGACACTCATTCCCGCATATAAGTGAAGGTGTTTTCTTGACATTAGTTTGTTAGGGAAAGGCACAGTGGTATTTTAGTTCAGTATAAGCTGGGGTAGTCTTTGGCGCAATGGTAAGAGTTATTGTCGTGTGAGGATTGAGGTCACAAGTTCAAGCCGTGGAAATAACCTCTTGCGGAAATGAAAGATAAGAATGCATATAATAGATTCAATGTAGCCTCGCTCTTCCACGAACCCAGCTAAGCTTAGTGCACCGGCCTGCCCTTTATAAGCTATTTTTGTCATGAAGCATTGCTTATCAAAAAAAGATAGATTTTTTCCATGAACTGCAAACTCAATGGGTTCCCTTATCCTCTTGCAGAAATGAAAAGTAAGAATGCGTACAATAAATCCAATGTAGCCTCGCCCTTCCCAGAACCTGCCTAAGCTTAGTGCACCAGTCTGCCATTTATAAGATATTTTTGACATGAAACATTGCTTATTAAAAAAGTAGATTTTTTCCCATGAACTGCAAACTCACATGGTTTCCCTTATCTTAAGTGCAATGCCCTTTAAACTACCAAATGATTCATAATCAACTTAGACCATAATGTTGACTACTTAATTTCGTTGAACTTATGCACTCATTATCAACATATGCATCTGAAACTTATACCAATAGAAAGCCATGATATATCCATAGCAACCCAAAATATGATAAAATCAAATATTCACAAACGAAATCTACCCACAAGATAAAATTAGTCATCTTTATTTCAAGCAATATTCCAGAACAAGATCGTAGCACAGTGGAACTTAAATCCACCAAAATTTAATCCTAGGATCTCAATACAAACATATACCCACTTCATTTAATTCATTTTCCCTTAATTTATCTTCTCAAAACTTACTTAAAGTTACAATTTTTTCCAGAAGAAGAAGCGAAACAGATCCAATCACATAGCAAAATAACAATATATAACAGAGTAAGCTAAAAGGAAAGGAGTACCCACCTGGAATTAGAAGACGAGGAGTCTTGAAAGGAAAATGGATGACACCAAATGAAAAGAAAAAAGGAAATCAAGAATGGGTTTGGCTAAAACTTTACACTTGCATACCCAAAAGGGTTTTTTTCTCTCTTTTAGTCACAGCTGTAGTGTCGGTAGGTACCTAATTATTTACTACTCCTACTAGTCAGTCTACTGATGCATATTAGGCAACGTTAATTACCATGTTAAAGAAAAAAGTCGCCTCGAACCAACAGTCATCCAAGATCCAACGCGCTATTTGGAAGTCTAAAACTGTGTTTCATTCAAACCAGGGATTTTACTTGGTTTAGTATAATTAATCCTCCCTCCGGTCCAAAATAAGTAATTTTTTTGCCTTTTTTTGTGGTCCAAAATAAGTGATTTTTTCAGATTTCAAGAATAAATTAATTATTTTCTTACATTGCCCTTGAAGTAAATAGTATTGGAGTATGTGTTAGGAGTGTTTATGTGAAGAGATAGTAAAGATTAATATGGCCAATTTCATTACTAATTAATGTTAAAAGGCGGATTATTTAATCTGTACGAAAATAGCTAAAAAATCACTTATTTTGAAGCGAATGGAGTAATTAAATAAAGCAGCTGGCTCTCTTGTTCGGATAGTTTTTAACTTGACTATTGAATGAATATTTATTATTTTCAGAAAGATTAAGATACATGTATAGCCACTTGGAGAACTGTCGTCAGGTCACTCTCAAACTATAACTAACTCGACCAACAACCTTTCCTTTTGTTTCTTTTTCTTTTTTGGATTTGGAATTTAGCCCGACAATTTTTTCTCAATAGTCTCGTTAACATTGTAGCTCAATTTATTAGTTATATAAATATTGATTTTATCGAGAAACAATTCAAAGATTGTTTGGTAGCCAGCGATTATCTATCTTTTTTAGAGTGAGGGACCGTAATTAGTGGGAAGAACCTTCTAATTAGATGAATGGTAAGAAATAAATATATATACTATAAATCTGTACAAATTTTGGAACTCATAAAAAAATCCAATCCATTAGATATATCATATATCATAGGAATTGATGGCGATTCGTACCAAGTCTATTTCCTTAACTAGGATTCTGTAAAACGACCACCAAAAAATAATAGGATCATATACCCAAACCTATAATAATGCTTCAACTGAAATCATTTTTTATCTTTCCTCAGACAAATTGTAAAACAGAAACTTAGAGAACTAACATTTTCTCCATCAGCCAAACTTCTTTCTCCAAATTTTTGAAAACAAAATATAAAGTAAAACAAAGGGCCATATGTTTATTTTCTTTCTGAAAACGAAGCAAGGTCAAGGAAACGCTGGTTTAGATTCCATTACCATTTTTGACTGCTTTTACATGTTCAACTTGCTCTCCTCATCACGTCTACCCCTTTTTCTTTTCCCTTGCTATAACTGTGTGACCACTGTTATCAACCAAAAACAAACAAAAAGAAAAGGTCTAATCTCCAGAGAGACATTATGACATTGACTCACATATAAAATGGAAGCAGATAAGGTATCCTCCTACAGCAACAAACATACTAGCTACCGCAGACTATCCGCATCCTTCTTGTCGGCCAAAGCTGGAAAGAATCAAAGCGTAGTTCTCTTTCGTGCATCTTCGCTGTGGCAAAAAATGTGATAAACCACGATCCGGGCTAAACTAGGCTCAACTCTGCTTTGTTATCAGCTCAATGTCTGCTCCAACTTCAGATATTTTTGCGTCTTTAGATGCCTTTGCTGCTTTTGCAATATTTGCAACGTCAAAGTCCATTGCAATTCTTTTTACGACACCCTCAAGCATCTATTAATGAAACAAAAACAAAAATTTACTAGGATTTCCAACTTACAACTACACTTGCTGAGAAAATAAGGAGCAGGATACCATTATAAAGGAAGAGACATCGCTAAAAAGATTCTCTGTGATGCAATAAAGCTATAGAAGAAATGATGAAACTCCAAGAGTAAGATTGATGAGTCCAGTAGGGACTAACATGTTTATCAGTTCTGGGATTTGAGATTAGCAAGGCAGCATTGAGATTGGAATCATTTACAGGATCTATTCTCCATGTTTCGTGCAATCAATTTAGCAGAGATGAGAGATGAAATCGACAAGAAAATGCCAACTTTAAAGTGAAATCATCATGGGCACAGCATAGCAACTGCCGCTGTTCAGTATTTTTGGAGTTAACAGGTTCATGCCTGAATCCTTCAATACTTTTTTTTAAGTAATGGAGTTCCAAACATGTAAGAACAAAATCTCAACAGCCAACAGTTTAGATATTATGAATTAAAAACAGAAGTACAACAAACAAATTTTAGGTACCCCTTTACTTGAGAGCTTAGAAATAGATAGGTTTGAGGCATACTTCCTACTTAGAATTCAAGAACAGAGCTATGAGAGTACCAAACATACCAGTGATCCTATGGCAACTAAAGCCCGAAATTTTGCATCGGCTTCAACACTTTCCTCTTCTGCAATCTTCAGGTAGAAAAGGTATTCCGACCAAAAGTCCATTAATACTTTGTTTCACAGAAGTAGAAGTGAAAGACACGGGAAGGGGAAGGTGGAGACAATTGGGAAGGGAAGGTCAAGGTTCCAGAGTCAGAATTATCACTAAATGGTAAATACCTCAAGCGCAGCCGAAAGAACTTGAGACTGCCCCTCCTCATCCTTCTTTTCAATCAATAGAACAGCATAGCTGCAAACTCAATCAATCACTGGGTAAGAACAATAACGTCAAAGAAAATAGTTGACACTGGATAATATCATAAATAAGGGCAGAAATAGATTCATGTACAAAAATAATTTTTACTTTTATCATCATCATCTGATTTACCTAGCAATAAAAGCGGTAAAATATTTTGCAAATAGGTTCACCAAAATGCAACGAGCAAATGTATAACCACTTGTCTTAGCTTGATTAAGTTGAAACTAAATGCTCAGAAGAGAGATCGGGAACTATTGCAACTAATAAATTTATCCATTCACAATCATGGCCTGCAACTGTCTCTAGTCATTTACTTCCACTAACATTCAGATTGTGATAAATACTTTTAACTAGGCCATGAATTTATTCACCATGCCTCCTTCTATTCCATTTTTGTTTTCACTAGAAAAATGTTTTATCCTCCACCTTTAGGAAGATAGTGTGTTCAGTTCCTAAGCATTAGAAGCTACATACCTCTAATGGCATGGCTTTCTCTCTCTAATGATGAAAATGGCTCCACAAATGTTTTACATTGGGATTTGCCCAAGAAAGCTTCTAATTGAAAATTCAAGTCGAAGAATTTGGTCAGGACTGACATGAAGGCCTAGATCATTAACTTCTTGAAAAGGTAGTACACACATATTTCTATTTCTGAAATCTTTGGACAACCACTCGGTGCACTTCTTTTAATTTATGATGGTTGCGCGGCCTCGACAAATTCCTCAGGGTACCTGCTACCTCCCACCATGACAGGATTTGGTTAGACCTCATAGCTTTCCCCGACTTCAATGACCATTAGGCCCACCCTTGGGTGCCCACTCAATTCATTACTACTAAATGGTTTTGTTCTTTACTACTTGGGTGCCAACCCTTGCTTTTTGCATGGCTAGCGGCGAGGGGAGTGATCTTGACTACTGAAAATCTTNGAGGGGAGCGATCTTGAGTCGTGACTGCTGAAAATCTTCGAAAGAGAGGAATCACACTTGTTAGTTGGTGCTACATGCGTAAAAGCTCAGGGGAAGAAGTTGATCATCTTTTGTTGCATTGCCCTGTGTCCTCGGCTTTGTGGAGGGCAATCCTGAATCTTTTTGGTGTTCAATGGGTGATGCCAAGCACTGTAAAGGAGATGTTATATAGCTGGGCCGGTTTCCGTAGAAGAAGAAAGCAAAAGGCGTGGAAGTTCGCCCCATTAGCTCTCATGTGGATAGTTTGGGGGAGAGAAATAGGAGAGCTTTTGAGGGGATTGAGTCTCCTTTTTCACATCTTAAGAATAGTCTTTTATCTTTGATCGCTTTTTGGTGCACTCATATAGCCCCTATTTGTATAGAAGATTGGGCGACTTTTGTAGAGAATCATGTTCTGATGTTAATTCTCTACTCTTTGGTATACTTCCTGCATACGGGAGTTCTCTCCCTTTTGATTAATACAATTTACCTTATCAAAAAAAAAATGTACCTGCTCCGGTTCAATTTATATGGCAGCGTTTCACTGGGTACGAAATTGAAGAAAAAAAGACTTCGGCAGATACCAAAAGTACCTTTAGAACTTGTAGTCATAGACATGCTACAGAATTTCTATGGCTATAAGACCATGTCATTAAGGGTAAAATGGGAAGTTAAAAGTTAAAAAGTTTCCAAATATAGAAAGTTGTGATACTTTCCAAAACAAATTAAAAAGTAATGAGTTCCATATAAAATAGAACAAATATGGATCACATGTTAAATTTTTTTGCTTTCTTAAACATAATGTAAGGATAAAGGTTATGTTGATAATAGGAAAACAGCAAATGAGGGTCTTATGTAAAAATAATTTGTTGAATATCATACAAAAATTTATCCTTCTAGAACTAGGAACATTATTCTTGAATGAACAAAAAATTAGGTTGTCAACTGTTTTAAAAATAGGGAGTGAAACATCAATCTTTTGGCAATCAATCAAGTCAACACCAATGATTTCGCTGGATCTAAGAATGACGTAGCACAGAAAACCGGACTCACCAAGGATGGCGAATGGGCAATATGTAGAGGTTGCTTCCGCTTCCTATGGATTGTTTTATAGCGGTACGATTAGCGTTGTCCGTTGGAGTTAAGGCAATTGAATACTTGGAACAGAAAAGGCTAAATTAGAGATGTTGAAAGTAGAGAGGCAAGGGAAGAGGCCAAAAGGGGCTTTTATTTTAATACAAAGAATTTTCAATACCCCGGTTCTAATGGAAAGAGACGTTGTCTATCG